CCTCACATGAAAAAAGGTAACACACGTTATTGGTGATTTTCTATATTTTATTCAATGAGTCTTGCCCTTTAAGCTCACCATTTTAACAGAGATAATAGAGTTGATTGATCATTTTTATTTATTTATTTTTTTCTTAATTTGAGAGATAAACACAATTACATTTTGTTAACGTTTAGATGGCTTGTATAACTTGGTGATATGAAGGAATACTAGTGACAGGTCATAGTATTGTCAGAAAGTTATGTAAAGTCATAAAATAGTCATACATTAACACACTGCTATAAAACAATGGTTTGTGCAATATCGTATCTATATCTACTACCTGTCAATCCTGATGCCGAGAAAGAAAAAGCAAAGATGAAAGGTCTACATCTATAAATAATGGAAATAAGGAAATACGTGGAAGATTGTGGAGAAGAATTTGGTTAAGGATTAAAAGAAGGTTTACGAGGCCATGATGTGATTACAGTTCATACATTTTTGCTTCTAGATTCTGGGAAATTTGCCCAGGTAAGAAACAAAAGTATATACCTGCGATTCTTAAAGGGTTACTCCAACCACCATGACAACTTCAGTGATTCAAGTGGTCATGGTGGTAGGTGTCAATTTGTCAGTGTTTCAGCTTGTAACACTACCCATACTGGGATATTCTTAAAGGATCGCTATAGTGTCAGGAAAACAAACTTGTTTTCCTGACACTATATAACCCTTAGGTCCCATCCCCCCCGACACTCAGGGCCTCCCTCCCTTTGTGCTGGGTTAAAACCCCTTCAGTTACTTACCTTAATCCAGCGCTGGGCTCTGTTAGCGCTGGTGACCTCTCCTTCCATTCCGACCTCAGATCCCGAGTGGAGCGGAATGAGCATGCGCGGCCGGAGCCACTAGAGGCTGAATTAACCCTGCAATGTAAACAGAGCAGTTTCTCTGAAACTATGTTTACATCTGAAGGGTTAAAACCTGGGGGACCTGGCACCCAGACCACTTCATTGAGCTGAAGTGGTCTGGGTGACTATAGTGGTCCTTTAATTATATGCTGGGGGCTAGTTGCACCATACTGTTTTACAGAAACATAGTTTTCATTTAAAGGGTGCAGGTGTAGAATCTGTGCCACACAAATTCTTTAGGATGAAGTGATTTTGGTGCTTCATCTTCAATTAGATGTAACACGTTAAAAGTTTTTATCTCCTGCTTTGTAAATTGAACTTTAATCACATACAGGAGGCTCATGCAGGGTCTATCAAACTATCTACCGCGCAGGAGATCAGAAATTCTAAATTAAACCGTTTGCAATAAAGGAAGTGTAAACATTAGATGACTCTTTACAGGAAGTAGTTAGGTAGGCTGTGTAAGTCACAAGCAGAGAGGAGTGACTAGAGCTGCGTATACAAAGTGATTTAACTCCTAAATGGCAGATATTTGACCAGTGAGACCAGTGTTCTCTTCATCAAAACTGCTTCATTAAGCTGAAGTTGTTTTGGTGACTATAGTGTCCCTTTAAATACCTTGATTTGAATGTGTGTGTGCAGCATTTATTTGGTGGAATTGCATACTAGGATTTGGCTTTATAATTGTGTGTTGCAAGCTGAAATCCAGAAACAAAATTGTGGTCAGAGGTTTTAAGACCTCTTATACTTTGTAGCGTATGAGATTATACTTTATACTCTTACCCAGGGCTTAACAAATTTGTTTGGAATATAGGAGCAAGCTAAAAAAGTTAGGAAACAGTTTATTTCTTTTTTTTTTTTTTTTTTTTAACAATATAGTCACCAGAACCACTACAACTTAATGTAGCCTTTTCAATGTAAACACTGCATTTTCGGCAAAAAAGGCAGTGTTTATATTGCTGTCTACGAAGACCTCTAGTGGCTGTCACTTAGACGGCAACTAGAGAGTCCTGTGAGTGCTCTGCATGGAGGCACTGAATGTCACCCAAACAGAACATGCGCAATATCCTTCCAATGCGTTCCTATGGGAAAGCATTGGCTTAGCTGAGATCATAAAGATTGATGAACTCATCAATAGAGGCTGGACAAGCCACGGCAAAACCTGCACAGCGTGGAAAAAAAGGGTGAGTAAAAACACCAATCATGTGATCGGAGGGGGGCAGGTATTTAAACAGACACACACATGTGCACACACACTGACATAAACACACACACTGACAGAGGCATACACACATACACTTTCTCAAACACTCACAAGCTTTCATTTTTTATTTTAATCCACCCAGCCTCCCTACCTTTGGGAGAGCTGAGGTGACTTTCCCTGGGGTCCAGTGGGGCTGCTCTCTCTTCCTGAGTGAGAACTAGCAGTAATCTACCATGCAGCTACTCTCTGCTCCATGTGATGCCGGGGCTGTAATGACGTCGTATTCCAGCTCCCGGCAACATTAAACAGTGCGAGGGAGCAGCCGACCGCCTTGATGATCCACTAATCCGGCCGCTTCCATAAAGCCCAGGGCTGCCGGCTACAGCGCTCACTAAGCCGGCTTCTTCCATAAAGCCCAGGGCTGCCGGCTACAACGCTCACTAAGCCGGCCGCTTCCATAAAGCCCAGGGCGGCCGGCTGCAATGCTCACTAAGCCAGCCACTTCCATAAAGCCCAGGGTGGCCGGCTACAATGCTCACTAAGCCTCTTGCCCCCATATATGACCAGCTGGTTGTTTACATAAATAGGATTTGTTGATCCCTGCTCTTACATATGACCTCTGTAGCTGAGCTCCAATACCTAGCATAGGTATCTCCGTTATTCTTTCCTCGTAGCTGAAATAATTAGTGTTATAATCCAAGACACTTTCCCCCCAGCAACTAGACGACACATAGTTCTGGGAGTCAAATGATTTTATTTTGTCCACACAGAGCTTTTATGCTCAGATCCTTACATGGGGTCTTCCATACAATAATACAGGGCTTTTCCTCCCAGGATCCTCTACAGAAAAATATGCAATATTCTAAAACACCCCTATAATACATTTTACTATCTTTGGAACCCCACAAAAGTAATCTCACCAATAGCTTGGATCTAAGCGCACACTTTGCCAAAATATCACTCAGATCCCTTCATTGGTTTCTTTCCCTTAGAGCTACTACATGAGCACAGTGGGTGGGAAGGCAAACAAAGAACAAGTGCCGATACGCCTCTCATCCGGTGGAGTTGTCACAGTAAGGGCACACTATTCACTGTAGCACTATAGAACATTGCCATTTAATGTAATTGATGTAGTGCACATATGAAATGGCTGGCTGGTAGAGGTGTTGTCAATTTCAAAAGGGTTTAATTTGATTGTATGGAAGGGCAGAAGGCTTACAACCTAAATTCCTCTTTGATGCTGGGACCCCAACAGAGCTACTCTGTAAGGTATGAGAAGTCACACATAAGTGGCCTGGATGTCTGGTTTCAGCATAAACCAACTCTCTCATTTGCCATATGCCTTGATTCCCTCCTTCATAAAGAGTCCTTTCATATGAATGGCCATCAGCTTCCAAGAAAAACCCCTGTGTTCCAGTATCATATCCAAAAGAGACACCAACGCTTACCCACAGATCAACAACCAAGCCTCATTCCCTATTGGGACAAGCACAATCTTCTAATCAAGCCTAAACATGATTTGTGAACAAGGGGACCACACAAAGGGAATAAATGTGTAGTTAGGTCCTCTATTCCGCTACAACCTCTCTCCCTGCGAGATGAGCCAGACAGCGGTTTTACTTGGAAAGCAACATTTGATGTGCTGTAGTTTTTACGCAGCTGAATATACTTAATTGTTCCTCTGCAGCGAATATGCTACCATTACCTTCCCATTGTAAAGATTGCGCCTTTCCTGTGCACTCCTCCACCAAAAAATTACGTTTTTAATGGGCATTAATTAAAATGTCCTTCAATCAACAAAGGCAGCGCAAAATTCGTTTTTTTTTGTTTGTTTTTTTTGCTTGGATGAGTAATACTCAAAAAATGTGCTGTTTTAACCGAACGTCGAGGTGTATGAATGTATGCCTGTTGAGACCTTGTTCAAGTGTATGTGAGATGAGCATGTGTGTTATTCTAGGGACATATTGGAAAAGCGAATACAAGATTAGTATGTGTATGAATGTGTGCCGGTTGAGATATATTCCACATAAATGTGTGTTTTGTTTTGGGTTTTTTTCCACTTACCGTCTCTCAGGTTTATCACTAAACATGCAATTCTATAGAAATGACAATGAATTGTCAAACTTAGGCAAAATAAATGATTTGCAAAAATTCTCCAATTTACTATAATCCCAGATTTTGCATTAAAATATTTTTTACAAATAAAAAGAAAAAAATTCCCTCCTTTTCTTGTTATAATTTTGCGCTTCTGTTTAAAATTTGATGTTCAGTGAATAGGTGATGTGGCTGTAGTCTCATTTTAGTATGATGTGGTGTAGGACAATAGCTTGTCACGCTAGTTGATAACATGTGATCCATGTGCACCTGAGGCCTGTTAGTTGTCATGAAAGCAATGCATATACAAGGAGGAGCTGGTAAACTGAAACTCCAATCATCCTATGTTGCAGCTAAGCTACTTGGCATTAGGTTTTAACATTGACAAAAAAAAGATTGTTTGTTTTAACTCCAGCCCTATAGTGTTGGGCTGGTTTTTTTTTTTTTAGGTTTTTTTTTTTTTGTAACTTTTTTTTTTTTTTTTTTTTTTTTTTTTATCATGGTATTGTTGTTGCGCCTGTAGCTATCGAGACTGTGGACATTTGCCACCCATGTAATTATGACTCCGAACTGGCACTTGTTTGAAAGCTGATCCTGTTTATATAGTAATGATTACATTTCCGATCACAGCATAGCAGAGGGTTATCCGTCTTCTCATGTAAGTAATGTGCTTTTTCTCTCTGCAGCGCTATGGAGCTGAGAAGCTGGAGTCTTGATGGTAAGGAGAGGCCATCCAACGCCCAATGAATGTGGATTTGCCATGGCTTTGAACGCTTGCATCACACCTTGAAATTACCACACTGATACATCGGAAAGCCATGGCGCTCTTTACTCCATGGAAGCTGTCCTCTCAGAAGCTCGGTTTTTTCTTGGTGACTTTTGGTTTCATTTGGGGTATGATGTTACTGCATTTTACGATACAGCAGCGGACTCAGCACGAGAGCAGCACAATGCTCCGCGAGCAGATTCTAGATCTCAGCAAGAAATACATCAAAGCTCTGGCAGAGGAAAATCAGAACGTAGTAGACGGACCATACGTCGGGACAATGACTGCGTATGGTAAGAAAAAACACTTTATACCATGTCTGAACAAGTGTATACTGCGCATTTCATAACTGGGTCTTGATGCACAATCGTTGGAAAAACAGCCACCAATGTTTTATGCAAACCACGGATTAACAAAACCATTACAATTTCAAAAATTAATTTTCTGGAGATTGCAAAATTCACAGGTGTTTGTGGTGCTATTTGTTGCCTATTTTTATCATTATCTTGATAATTTTAATAGCATTGTGAACATAACAGACCATAAGATCAAGATTTAAAAAAAATAAATAAATAAAATCTGTATTCTCTAAAGTGTTATCTGTACATCTGTAAAATGTGAGGCCATCATTGAGAACAGGTAGGTGGAAGTGAGACACATTTATAGCATGTAAGAATCATGAGACTATCTGTCTAGATATTCTTATTTCCTTTAAGAATAAAATCCATTTCCTATGGTGAGCTACAGAGTTGCCCAGCTGGGCATAGCCCACAGAGAATATAAACAGGAGTCTGCCATTCCCATAATAATTTTCCAGTGGGTGACCATTTGGGAATTGCAGTCCAGCAACAGAGGATTGGTCAAGAAAGAATGGCTTTGTTTAGACCAATAGAAAGAGATGTGAAGGACTGGTGAAAGGGATGTTTAATGTTTTCATAACTTAATTAGTTGCTTTAGAAGGGAATGTTTTTTTGTTTTCTGTGCGTGACCATTCCCTTTCCAAGTACCGCTGGTACATGACTTACTATAATGTTTCCAAATTTTGTATGGCCTCATGACAAGGGAAGTCAAATATTTTTACTGTGTATCACAAAGTAGAAGTTCTAGACATATGTGATATACCTTTTGTTTTGGAACTATGGTTCCATGACGTAAAATGGACAGACATGAGCATGTTCCTTTAATAACTTGTTCCTCGGTGGAACCTTGCTTGGGACTTTTAGAGAATATATCTAATTTTTATGTCAGACTTATCTCAGCCGCAAGGGGAGCCCACACCAAAATGCTGAAAAAGTTCTGCTTGTTCGTTGCAGCTAGAGGTGTATTGGCTACACCTAACTAACAACTTCCCAAAGAAGGTCAAATTGATCATCTTGGATGGCTGGGGTCAGTCTGGTATGTAACCGGCCTATATTCCTTCCGTAATGGCACATTTAAGCAAAAACCTGCTTGAGTCCTGAGTGGGGATTAACGAAAGGGCATGTTTTGTCTCTTATCAGTGTTATATTGTCTGTATGATGCTTGTACAAACAATAGTTAGTTTGTTCTCAGTGTGCATCTTGTGACTGTCATTTGGCACATACAAACCGTTTATATTTTAAAAGGAACCTGTGGTTGGTAAATATTCCTTGTGACAGTAATCCTTTTGTGTTTTTGTCATCATGTGCCCATTATTTGTGCAGGGTATGTTGAATATATTTCTTGTCTGTACCTCTCCCCCTTTTTCTGTCCTATTGTTTCCACAGCAGGGCTTTGTCACAGGGACACTGCCAGAACAGTTTAAACTAGCTGCTTTGTCTCTCCTCAATCTCCCATCAGCCCTTGATATTGTCTGTCCCCCATCCTTCCTTGTACTATAGTGTAAATGAGGCTTTTGGGGTCTTAAAATATGTGTGATGTGTTCATTAAAGGGTTGATGTTTAACCTTCTCCAAGTGTCGTCTGGTGTTTGGAAAAGGGTGGAAAGGCCCTAAGTGATCCCAGTCAAGCCTCCGCAACTGGGTCTGAAGTGCTCCAGGGTCCCTGATAGCTATGAGGAAGCAGACTTGGCGGATGTACTCGGTCGTAGCACAGGCGCTTTGTTACACTCCTGTTTTGTCCCTGGAATGTACTTTCATGCTTTATGAGGAAAGGAATATATGCAAGGATTTAAAGGGACACTATAGTTCTTTAGTACCTTCATTGACTTGTTCTGGTGTCTATAGTCTGTACCTGCATGCTTTTCAATGTAAACGCTGCCTTTTGAGAGAAAAGGGCAGTGTCTAAATTGCTGCCTAGGAGCACCCCTAGTGGCAGTCACTCAGAATGCCACTAGGGGTGTTTCGTGGGTCGGCGTTGCATAATGTGCATCACGGACTTTCTGTGTCTCCACACTCATTGAGTCGCTGAGTGTTTCACATAGCGATGCATTTATTTAATGCATCTCTGTGAGGAGATGCTGATTGCCACAGGGTGGTGTGTTTTGCCATGCATGTGCATTAGCCTCCCAATGCTTTCCTTTGGGAATGCATTAGACTGGCTAAGCTCAAGGAGGCAGAGCGTGTGTGGGGCCAATCTCAAGGAGATCTACTCGGCACTGGAAAAAGATAATGTAAATCAAGGTAGGCAAGTTTGTATTCCTGACATTATAGTATTCCTTTAACCCCTTAAGGACACATGACATGTGTGACATGTCATGATTCCCTTTTATTCCAGAAGTTTGGTCCTTAAGGGGTTAAGTTGCAAATAGTCTGTTCTCATAAAACCCCATTGGTTTCCATGGATGGATATTATACACATTTGTTTATCCAAATCCAGCTATATGTTTTGTGTGGGCTTTGTTTATATTTTCCCAAAACGTGTTCTTTTTTTAAATGTATTGTTTAAATGTGAACTATTTTAGAAGTATCACTTCCTGGTTGCAGTAAAGGAATGTTAATAGACTTCCCCCAGCTGTGAAGCTCTGTTTCCTTAGTTATAATATATGGTATATATGCAATATCTCATCTTGAAATTACCCTCTAAGCCTCTGCCGATTGTGTAGATTATACTAAATACTTCTAATTTTAGTGATTTGCCATCCAGTCCAATTCAAGTTATGTGTCTCCCAGCCCTCTCCGTCCCTCATTGTATGCTGTTTGCAGCCCTATTCACAAAACTGTTAACTCTGCTGTGAATAAACTGATCTACTATCAGCTCACTACGAGGTTCCACTCTGATGCTTTTAGACCCCTTAATTGGTGCAGTCTCTTCCTGTTATATGAGCAAGGGGCAAGTCTGATCTTGACACTTCCCTGTGTAAGTGAAGTGGATTTTGGACCTCTAGCCCCAGCACTCTCTGCCTATAAATTACTGTCCAAAGTTATATGTCCTAATGCAGAGACTCACTTCTCTATCCAAGCAGAGTGGTTGAAGTTTAGCAGCTTTTTGTCAAACTGCTCAAAAGATTTGAACCAAACTTACCGTGGGGTGGGGGTTAGTGCCCAAAGATTATTTTCCTCATAACCACTTTTGCAGAAGTGTCCCGTAGATATGGGTATTATGATCTTAAAACTTTTGAATCTTTAAAGCAGTATTTTATTAATGGAACAATGCAAACCTCCTTGGTAATGAATGAACTCACATGATACAGACCCACAAGTATAAACTGGGCTCAACTTGAGCTCTGTATCATGTGAGTTCCTTCATATCATTATGACATCTCTTTTATTTGAGAACTCATTGCGCTATGAGTGTTTTTATGATTTGCTGTGAATCATACTGTGTATTCTACGGTTACATTGGCTTCCTGTATCCTATAGGAGTCAATTCAAAGTACTAACAAAGCACTGAACAATTCTAGTCCTTATTATATCTCCTCACTGATCCGTAGGTAAGCCCCTTCTAGATCCCTCTCCACTCTGCCTATGACCACCTCCTGTCCGCTGCTCACAACCATACGGCCAACTCACGCTTGCAGGACTTCTCGCGGGCGGCTCCCTTCCTGTGGCATAGCCTGCCTACGACCATTAGACTCTCCCGTAGTCTCCAATCTTTAAGAAGTGCTTTAAAACCCATCTCTTCAGGAAAGCTTATGGCCTCCCAGAGTAACCTCTACCTCACATACCTATCTCTTGCTCTCTCTTAAAGGGCAGCACTCTATTCTCTCCTCCAACCTGTCCTATTGAGTTGTATAACCCACCTCCTCTAGACTGTAAGCTCGTTTGAGCAGGGTCCTCTTTTATTCCTGCAAGTTTTTGTAATGGTCTCATTTATTGTTAAATCTCTCACTCTTATAATATTGTAAAGTGCTATGTTGGCGCTATATAAATGCTGATAATACTTTCAGTGTTTTGTTACGTGTTGTGTATTGGAAATTAGCGCTCTACTTTTCAAATTTTTAATTTATTTTTTTTTGTGGTTTATACAGTTTGCTTTGTATTGTTAAAGGAGACACACACAGGTGTTGGAACTGCTAAATTTTATTTCACTACAAGCTAGTGTATATACCTTAAAAAATAACATTAATCCATCAAAGCAGAAACCTATCTGGACTTTGACAGCATCCCTGTTTTAATAACCAAAAGAAGCAAACCCATCCGAAACCTTAAATATATGAAATTTGACAAGGTGAAAGCCTAGTATGGAAATAGAGTAACAAGGTAGTGAAGGGGTTAACCCTGAATGTTAATAGAAGAACGAAAAGAGAGAACACTACCAAAGAAATATGTATAGTCTAAAATTTAACTTTTAATGGTGAACACAATACAAAGTGATCATTTCACATATACAGGGAGTGCAGAATTATTAGGCAAATGAGTATTTTGACCACATCATCCTCTTTATGCATGTTGTCTTACTCCAAGCTGTATAGGCTCGAAAGCCTACTACCAATTAAGCATATTAGGTGATGTGCATCTCTGTAATGAGAAGGGGTGTGGTCAAATGACATCAACACCCTATATTAGGTGTGCATAATTATTAGGCAACTTCCTTTCCTTTGGCAAAATGGGTCAAAAGAAGGACTTGACAGGCTCAGAAAAGTCAAAAATAGTGAGATATCTTGCAGAGGGATGCAGCACTCTTAAAATTGCAAAGCTTCTGAAGCGTGATCATCGAACAATCAAGCGTTTCATTCAAAATAGTCAACAGGGTCGCAAGAAGCGTGTGGAAAAACCAAGGCGCAAAATAACTGCCCATGAACTGAGAAAAGTCAAGCGTGCAGCTGCCACGATGCCACTTGCCACCAGTTTGGCCATATTTCAGAGCTGCAACATCACTGGAGTGCCCAAAAGCACAAGGTGTGCAATACTCAGAGACATGGCCAGGGTAAGAAAGGCTGAAAGACGACCACCACTGAACAAGACACACAAGCTGAAACGTCAAGACTGGGCCAAGAAATATCTCAAGACTGATTTTTCTAAGGTTTTATGGACTGATGAAATGAGAGTGAGTCTTGATGGGCCAGATGGATGGGCCCGTGGCTGGATTGGTAAAGGGCAGAGAGCTCCAGTCCGACTCAGACGCCAGCAAGGTGGAGGTGGAGTACTGGTTTGGGCTGGTATCATCAAAGATGAGCTTGTGGGGCCTTTTCGGGTTGAGGATGGAGTCAAGCTCAACTCCCAGTCCTACTGCCAGTTCCTGGAAGACACCTTCTTCAAGCAGTGGTACAGGAAGAAGTCTGCATCCTTCAAGAAAAACATGATTTTCATGCAGGACAATGCTCCATCACACGCGTCCAAGTACTCCACAGCGTGGCTGGCAAGAAAGGGTATAAAAGAAGAAAATCTAATGACATGGCCTCCTTGTTCACCTGATCTGAACCCCATTGAAAACCTGTGGTCCATCATCAAATGTGAGATTTACAAGGAGGGAAAACAGTACACCTCTCTGAACAGTGTCTGGGAGGCTGTGGTTGCTGCTGCACGCAATGTTGATGGTGAACAGATCAAAACACTGACAGAATCCATGGATGGCAGGCTTTTTTTTACTTCAGTTTCTCTGAAACTGCTATGTTTATAAAAAAATGGGTTAACCCTAGAAGGACCTGGCACCCAGACCACTTCATTAAGCTGAAGTGGTCTGGGTGCCTAGAGTGGTCCTTTAAGGCTGGTATTTTTTTCCAAGAAAGGTGGCAACCCTAACTACTCTTCACATACTCTTGCTTAAAGGAGCACTATAGGCTCAGGAACACAATCATGTATATCTGACCCTATTATGTTAAAACCACCACCCTGGCCCCTTCTTGCCTCCCTAAGTATAGTACAATACAACTTGTATTCAAGTCTGCAGCTGCTGGCTCTGCCTCTGAATTGACTGTCTGCTGACATCATCAGAAGTGGTGGTCTGAACAAATTACAATACTTCCCCATAGGATTGGCTGAGACTGTCAACTAGGCAGATCAGGGGCAGAGCCAGCACAAGTCCAACATAGCCCTGGCCAATCAGCATCTCCTCATAAAGATACATTGAATCAATGAATCTCTATGAGGAAAGTTCAGTGTCTGCATGCAGAGGGTGGAGACACTGAATGGCAGTGCTGCACACTAGGCAGTACTGCCCCAGGAAGCACCTCTAGCAGCCATCTAAGGAGTGGCCAGTGGAGTTATTTTCTCTGAAAAGACAGTGTTTACTGCAAAAGGCCTGAATGGAATGATTCTACTTACCAGAACAAATACAATAAGCTGTAGTTGTTCTGGTGACTATAGTGTCCCTTTAAGTTTGGAAGCTTAAGAGGGATGTATGGAAACAAAACTTGTGTGGACTAGCTGACAATAAAATTAGTTTAGGTAATGCAGACGCTGGTATCTCTAACACTGTGGCATGTCCCCTTTCTTCTACACTCACTACATACACCTTTTCTCTGTCTCAGACTATACCAGGAACTTCTGCCTGCTAGTAAGAAGGCAAGGAGACAAATGGACCAGAGAGTTCTAGGGGACAGTCCTTAGAAAGCATGGAGTGAGCGCATCATTAGATGCATTTGTGTCAAGCTCATGGTGCTGCCTTCATAGTATGCCCTTAGTTGGACAGCCTGCAGGATTGGCAGGCAGCCTGACATGCATTCATGCCAGGCTGTCCTTCAAATTCTTTGGACAGACATGCCCTTTTTTGGGCATGTTCTCCCCTTTTGGCAGGCCTGTTCATGTGATTCGCACCAGTGGCACACTCTTTTACCCTGCACATTGACTTCCTGCTTCACTGGACACTGCTGTTAGGGTTTATGGATTTACTTGAAAGATGAAAGCATAAATTAGAGAGAGATTAGCATAGAGTATGTGTTTTCTTATAGCTGCATCCTATGAGCTTCCCTCCAGCACCATCTCTATCAGATACATGACGCTTGGGAGGTAGGACTGTTTTAGTGTTTTTGGTCGATAAGATTCCGTAATTAGGCCCATCATATTTATCAGCACCAGGCCCAGTGTGCTCTTAAACCGGCCCTGAGCTGAATGGTATTTAAAACAGAAATTGCTATATAAACTCACAAACGGAGAGCTATAGACCCAGCTCTGGTATGGATCACTTCTGGGTCCGTTTAGGCAACCTATCCCTGTTAATGCTGTAAATCTTGTCCTGAAGGGGGGGGGGGATAAAAAGCAGAAACGATTGCGCAGTACTACTACTAATATTTAATTTAATAAAGAAATTCCCAAATGGGTACTTACAAGCCTAGAGTCAAATGATATGACTCACTTCACAAGTGTTGTGCAGATTTGGGACTGCACTCCCATCCATAAAATATGTATCCAGGATCAAAGGATAAAATAAAAACTATTTATTGCACCAATGTACACAAAATAAAAAGACAACAATGTGCTCTGAGACGTAACTACAGACAGGAATACCTGCCGACTGCTTTTAATTGTGGGGTGAGAGGGAGGCATGGACCGCACACGTTCTACCTGTGCGTGGTAACAACGTGTTACGGCATACAGGCACTGACCCTTCTCCCGCCAATTTTAGCGGTATTTAAACACGAACTGGGAACCAGGGAACATTGAATTCATTTATCCGGTTGAAAAAGCCACGGTGAAGTGGCGAAACGCGTTCCGGTATTGAGCACGTTGTTGCCTTTTTATTTTGTGTACATTGTTGCAACAAATATAGTTTTTATTTTATCCTTTGATCCTGGTTCCTGGATACATCTTTTATGGATGGGAGTGCAGCAATTTCTGTTTTAAATACCATTCAGTTATTTATATACTGTCTACACTATATTTGATTGTCTTTTATAGATACCTACCGGCTTGATATTCAGGTGAAAAACTCCTCTTAAACTGCCAAAAGGTGATAACCTATTTATTTATTATAGAAATGTCCCATATACGCCATCACATATTATCTGTTATTGATATGTTATATTCCCAGTGGAAAGCCTTAGGGCATGGGTAGGCAACCTTTGGCACTCCACATGGCAAGGACTGCATCTCCCATAATGCTCTCACAGCTATAATGCTGGTAAAGAATCAGGGGGTATGTTGTACACAACATTTTGAGGCCTAAAAGTTATCTACCCCTGCCCTAGGGAAACAGGGGTATTGACAGTGTGACAGTGTGAACGTAGGCGTTTGGATCTTATAGGGCAGTCCCAGCCATACTGTTAACTGTTTTCGTCTTTTTATTGTATTTGAATGTCTGGCATTCAAGTTCTCTTTCAGACTGTTGTGCATATGGTAAGGCACAAGTGCTCACCTACTAACGTCTATGTTTGTAATGTATGTTCTGCGTTCACTCCTGTGTGTTATTTCTGAGACTGTGGGAACTTTGATACAACTTGTACTGAATGTCTTATTGTAATTTACTTTGTGCAAGAGAGCTGGTTGGCCCCTTTAGGGTCCCCGAAGGTGTAAAGATGACCTCTGCAAAGTATGTGGAGTTTCTGACTGACCACTTTCTTCCGTGGTACAGAAGGAAGAACTATGCTTTCCGTAATAAAATCATCTTCATGCATGACAATGTACCATCTCATGCTGCAAAGAATACGTCTGAATCAATGTGGCCTCCATCCTCCCCTGACCTCAATCCTATTAAGAACCTTTGGAGCATCCTCAAGCAAAAGATCTATTAGGGTGGGAGGCAGTTTACATCCAAACAGCAGCTCTGGGAGGCTCTTCTGACATCGTGCAAACAAATTCAAGCAGAAACTGTCCAAAACCTCACAAGTTCAATGGATGCAAGACTTGTGAAGCTGCTATCAAATAAGGGGTCCTATGTTAAAATGTAACGTGACCGTTAAAATGTTGTTATAAGTTTGATTGAAATAGCTTTTGATTTCAGTAAATATGCTGCAAACACAACAAATGACAATTTTCAGTTCTTTACAACCTATAAAGTGTTTTGAAACTTACTGTGCGTAATAATTTGGAACAGTGCATTGTAAGTTTTTTATGTTTTAAACAAATACTGTTATCATTAGGTTTGTTCAATAAAATTTGAATTGTACTCTTAATAGTTAACATGAGAATTATGCTGACTGTTATTTACATCAATTATATAGGTAAATGAGAAAAATGTAATTTGCATAATAATTTAGAACAGGGTGTACAATAGAAAACAAAAAACAAATCCCTTTGCACATTTGAATAACTGGAGGATTTTTATTTTCACTCCAATGGCCATTAAAGTGTAAGCTCATCTGCCACATCAAGGTTAAACCTCTTATGTGAGTTCTACACTAACCGTTAGGAGCCAGACACGCAGTGCATAGAAAAAAATACTTTCAGTCAAAGTACTGCATTGACCTAAAAAGAGAGAGTAAAGTGCATTCTTTCTATTGTGGCCATGATTATCACCCAGTTCCTGTTCAGCTGGCTGTAATCTGCTCCTGTTACAAGACATTACCTTCACCAGACTTGGGAGAGCTTGATGGCCTGGGGTAGTGCAGCCCCATAATGTAAAATTAGATTTGTATTAATTTCTCTTGGTACAGACTTTCTTCACGTCCTGGATAACTGTGGACGTCTTCCTCTTCGATGACGACCTAGTCAGAAGAAAAGCCACAGGACATCCGTTATTTATTTATTTTTTTCTTTAAATTAGGCTGATTTTCTGTAAATAATGCAATTACATGGTTTGTATCCATTTTGCTTTATTAAAAACATTTGCATAACAATAATTGCGATTTAAAATGATCGCTACACATTACATATATACTTATTTGGAACCTCCACTATGTGATCACTACTGACACACTGATTGTGTTAAAAAGACAATTGTGTGTGTGTGTGTGAAAGGTACACATAATACTTACACGTATGTGTCCCAGTGACGTGTACTTGCAATACTGGGAAAAAATAAAAATAAAATAAAATTAATAGGGTAGTCTCTATTAGTTTACGGAGTAGCTTCATTCATACTTTTCTCGTGAATATGCAGCTAATGGACCCAACCAGGAGCAAAAAACAAAACAAACAAAAGGTCCGCGCTAATGAACCAAACCAAATCTATATTAAAGAGAGGCAGCACACCTGAAATGGTAGGGCTCTCTCAAAACCCCAGGAACGAGTAGAACAATACAAGAAGAAAGGAAGGTTGCGCTAAAAAAGTATAGATAATATATCGGGAAAAAAGAGAACACAGAAAAATAAAAACCAGTGATTACAAAATATGCAATAAAAGAACTAAGTGACCAATATGATGTCAATATGATGTCAAAATCAAAAATGGAAAGGAACAGCCAGATCCTGTCGGGAAGATTCTTGTATGGAAGTGCATCACGTGACCCGTTCTATACTCGATCCTTAGTAGGTTCTAAGCCTCGTTTTTCACTCCTCTTCTCCCAAAAAGTTCCTACTATAAAATATTTTATTACCATATGGTTTATATTGTATTTCATAAAAAAAAAATGTTGTAAACATAATCACATGGTAATTAACTAATTTAGGCACCACATTTATTGCTGATATGTTTGTTTCTCCTATACATACCTATGTCTGCCAGGTTTGACTCTTTATTTAACTTAATAAAGCCATCTGTTGGTGAAACGGGTTGTAGATAATTTTACAGCCGTTTTAATTGAGGTATTTTGGCTTTTTCCTTTTATATTGCTATTATTTTATATTTTATTGCCTGGCATCCAATTTTACTGTTCCAGTGTGGACTACTCCAAAGAATCCAAGGTTTCCAAGGGCATTATACCACTTATTCCACTCACGCCCACTCACCACAAAGAAAATTTGTTAAGCCCTGCATTAATATTCTAAATAAATGAATATTTTGGTATTTTTGTTTACTTTACTCAACCCACAATAATAGCAAAGGTTATTCTATTTGGCTTACCACAACCAATTTTAACCCTTATTAGAAACATAGAAACATAGAATGTGACGGCAGATAAGAACCATTCGGCCCATCTAGTCTGCCCAATTTTCTAAATACTTTCATTTATCCCTAGCCTTATCTTATAGTTAGGATAGCCTTATGCCTATCCCACGCATGCTTAAACTCCTTTACTGTGTTAACCTCTACCACTTCAGCTGGAAGGCTATTCCATGCATTCACTACCCTCTCAGTAAAGTAATACTTCCTGATATTATTTTTAAACCTTTGTCCCTCTAATTTAAGACTATGTCCTCACTCCAAGTAAGGTCTCACCAGTGTTCTGTACAATGGCATGAGCACTTCCCTCTTTCTACTGCTAATACTCTCCCCATACAACCAAGCATTCTGCTAGCATTTCCTGCTGCTCTATTACATTGTCTGCCTACCTTTATGTCATCATAATCACCCCTAAATCCCTTTCCTCAGATGTCGAGGTTAGGACTCTATCAAATATTATGTACTCTGCCCTTGGGTTTTTACATCCAAGATGCATTATCTTGCACTTATCCACATTAAATGTCAGTTGCCACAATTCTAACCATTTTTCTTGTTTACCTAAATCATTTACCAATTGGCTTATCCCTCCTGGAACATCAACCCTGTTACATATCTTAGTATCATCAGCAAAAAGACATACCTTACCATTAAGACCTTCTGCAATATCACTAATAAAAATATTAAAGAGAATGGGTCCAAGTACAGATCCATGAGGTACCCCACTGGTGACAAGTCCAAGCTTCGAATATATTCCATTAACCACAACCCTCTGTTGCCTGTCACTCAGCCACTGCCTTACCCATTCAACAATATTGGAATCCAAACTTAAAGATTGCAGTTTATTGATAAGCCTTCTATGTGCAACAGTGTCAAAAGCCTTACTGAAATCTAGGTAAGCAATGTCTACTGCACCACCCTGATCTATAATTTTAGTTACCCAATCAAAAAAATCAATAAGATTAGTTTGGCATGATCTCCCTGAAGTAAAACCATGTTGTCTCTGATCTTGAAATCCATGTGTTTTAGATGTTCAACAATCCTATCCTTTAACATGGTTTCCATCACTTTCCCCACTACTGAAGTAAGGCTTACTGGCCTATAGTTGCCCGACTCCTCCCTATTACCTTTCTTGTAAATGGGTACAACATTCGCTAACTTCCAATCTTGTGGGACTACTCCTGTTAACAATGATTGGTTAAATAAATCTGTTAATGGTTTTGCTAGTACACCACTAAGCTCTTTTAATAACTTTGGGTGTATTCCATCAGGTCCCATTGACTTATTTGTCTTTACTTTTGACAGTTGAAATAGAACCTCTTCCTATTATCAATTCATCATTACTGGTTATGGCTTTTCTCAGAAATGCATGAGGACCTACGGCATGTGCGTGAAATTCCTCATTTCAGTGCTTCTCATAGAGATGCATTTTATCCATTGCTTAACTACGAGAAGCCATAGTCCTGAACGGCATTCCCATGCTGTGCGCAGCAACTCTGAACATGAAGACCTTTGGAAATTGAAGGACCTAAGGAGGAAGTGGCTCTAATGGCTGTCCCTTTTAACAAGGGGGTTTATCAGAGTGTAGGTTTGTTTTGAATTCTCTTCTTTTGTAATACAAGCTAATCATAGTGTCACTCTCCGTTAAAACATTTTATGATTTGAGAGACAAACTCTCTCCAGCACAGCATATATAGATTATTCTGTAAGACTGAATATGTATATTTATTTATTTATAAAATGTTTTACCAGGAAAGATACATTGAGATTTCTCTCGTTTTCAAGTATGTCCTGGGTCCACAAAACATTGCATTGATACATTATGGTACAATAAAATAAAAAAAAACAATATTAATACACAATATATACAAAACATAACAACATAGAGCACGTAGGAAATATATAATCAACCATGACATGTGCATTCTGTTTTGAGGTATGTAGAGAGAGATCTCTTAAAGGACTCTGGGCTTGGGGAAGATTTTAAAGTGTGCGGGAGGTTGTTCCACAATTGGATATCTGACCTCCATCCAACAGGACGTTTCCCAGTGTATCACACCTTACATATCCAGTTCTTGCAGTCACATTCTGCTCTCGATATTGCCGTGGAATAAATCGCTTTATTGATTGAAAACCATACGTTTTTAGCAATTGTTTGTCAGTGTTAAAGAAGGCTATGTATTGAGTGAGACCACATGAGCATTGAGTGAGTTGCATGTGGATTCTAGAACATCGAAAATTGTTAGTATCCTCAGATTCCAGAAATGTGGCTTTCAGTTTCAGACTGCGTTGCTACATTGTTTCTCTTCTGGCCGTGAGTTTGAGACATGTCATTAGCAACTGGAGAGAAGGTGACACATTTAATTATAGACCTTTTGGGAAAAACTGTATTGGACTTGGAAATCACTTTAAATGGACACTGTAGACTCCCAGACCACTTAAGCTAATTTAAGTGGTCTGGGTGCTGTGTCCCTTTTGCACTTAGTGATGCAATGTAAAACATTGCAGTTCCAGAGAACTCCAGAGCTCTAAGTCTGCCCCCAGTGACTGTCTGCCAGGCAGGCACTGGGGGCGCATTCGGAATCCTAACAGACTTTTGTTATCTGACGCTGGACGTCCTCACGAGTCAAACTCTATGAAAGGCCAGGAAGTGCCTCTAGTGGCTATCTACCAGACTCTCAAACTGCAATGTTTACACCCGAAGAGCTAAAATGACAGGGACAGTGCACCCAGATCACTTTAATGAGATGAAGTGGTCTGGGTGCCTATAGTGTCCCATTAACTGTCTGACTACCAGAGGGTTGAGCAGCTGTAACGTGATTTCCTATGGTAGAGAATTCGTGATCAATGTTTTAGACCGCTATAACAGAATTCATGCAAAACAAAAACAACAAAACACTCATTCTTTGTTTATTTAACTGATGTTAAGACAACATTTTGCCTTTAGAAAACATCAATGTATTTTATAACACGGAATGATTTAGAAAAATCCCCTCCCTTTATCGGTGCAGAATAATGGCTTCCTGATTCGTGAAAATGTATATTTTATCATCCAGTGTTTTTTTTTGTTTGTTTTTTTTTTATGGGACATACCGTGGTTTAGTGTGTTGTGTCTCAGAATATGAGAGATTCAGCTCCCTTTGGCTTTTGTGCAGCACTGATTCGTGAGCTTGCTTGTTACAGCTCCCTGCTACAATGATATCTTCTGCTTCATTCTTTGCCTTGACTAACAAAGTCTAACAGCTGCCTTGGGTGGCATAACCAAATTCCAGGATTCACCCTCGCCTCCGGCTTGGAAATGATTATAGAGAGAACAGCGCGCAAATCTATTTTACAACATGTCTATAAAATATTTTTTTTTTTAAGCAACAGCAAACAGCGTTCCATTCTTATTAATTACTAGCTACCTATTCACAATCTACCCACACCCATGGAGTCTAGTCAGCATTAGTTAAAGGCAAAGTTTCGTAGGAGCTGTAGTTCATTGTAGGTAACAAAACAAACAAAAAAAACTTACTTTTACATAGAATTTGTAGTTCTTTTAGCAATTCTGAGCTTTCTATTTAGTGAATATCTCAATTAAGACAATTACCTCCTCTAAGTACTTTTGTTGCTCAATTCAGAGACTGGCAATTTATAACATCCTTTCATTGTCAAGTCTGTGCTCGGTCCAAGGTGAAGTCATTATCCCTTGGATTTTATTATTGCCATGTTATCTATTTGTTTTTTGTTTTGTTTTGTATTATATTCGTCTTATTTTTAATTAAGAAAAGGGAAAATTGGATGAGGACACAGGTTTATTTGCATATTCTAAAATCCATACACCATGGATATAGATATTGATGTTACTTCACAGATTTATTTTATTATTATTATAATCTTGACAAATATAAATGCTAATCCTAAATCAAATCAAATCAAAAGAAACTTTAAAACAATATGTATACATATCCCATTTAGGAAAATATATTAAAACAGAAGAACAAAGATCTGACCGACACCCTATAACAATGTGCAAAAAGGGGGAAATGGCGCTACATAAATAAAATAATCATAGTAATATCCCTTGGAGATATGTAGATATACCAAGTCCTCCCATTGCTAATGATGAAGCACCGACAATGGTTGAATATTTTGGTATTGGTATTTTTACTAAATTTGCAGTCACCCTATTCTCTGGATGTATATATAATATTTTCACACAGAAGACCATTCTAAGGTTAGACACTGGTTCAGTGTAACATTTTCCATATACCACATTCCTAGGATCTATAGCATCCTGATCATTCACAACCTCCATAATAATTGGTAATGTGCTTTCCTACCGATCTCACAAAAGGTTGATCTGAAGTCTTGTAGACCATCCAGCAATTTACATCTTTATTTTTTAACTCTCAAAGCACCATAAAT